GCAATGGCATGATCTCGGCTCACTGCAACCTCTGCCTCCCAGGTTCAAGTGATTCTCCTGCCTCAGCCCCCAAGTAGCTGGGATTACAGGCTTGTGCCACCACGCCCGGCTAATTTTGTATTTTTAGTAGAGACGGGGTTTCTCCATGTTAACCAGGCTGGTCTCGAATTCCTGACCTCAGGTGATCTGCCTGTCTCAGCCTTCCAAAGTGCTGAGATTACAGGTGTGAGCCACCGTGCCCAGCTTTTTTTTTTTTTGGAGACAGTTTCACTCTGGTTGCCCAGGCTGAAGTACAGTGGCACGATCTCAGCTCACTGCAGCCTCTGCCTCCCAGGTTCAAGCAATTCTTCTGCCTCAGCCTCCCAAGTAGGTGGGATTACAGGCATGAGCCACCACTCCCAGCTAATTTTGTATTTTTACTAGGGAGTTGGTTTTGCCATGTTGGCCAGGCTGGTCTCAAACCCCTGACCTCAGGTGGTCCGCCTGCCTCAGCCTCCAAAAGTGTTGGGATTCCAGGTCTGAGCGCTTGACTATGGTATCGTGAGCCGAGTTCAGAAGCCCAAATAGGGGGTAGGAGAAAATGCACTTCGAGGCCTGTGAGGCTGGGAGGGCCGCCAGCACCCGCTATGTGCCAGGTCCTGTTGCTAACGCTGGAGCCAGTTCCTGCCCCGGTGGAGCTGCCACTAAAGGGGGCGGTGTAATAAACAAGATAGGTAAGTGCATTTGCACATGCTCTGTGGGGCTAAGGGCTGAAGAGAAACCATAAGCAGGGTTCAGAGGCCAGGAGGGCTCTGCAAAGGGATTTGGCATTGTCACAGGGTGGCCAGAAAAGGCTTCTCAAGGTGACAGTGAGCAGAGATCTGAAGAAGGTGAGGGAGCCTGTGTGGACCTCAGGACGAGAGCTCCAGGCAGGGCCTGTTTGAGGAACATGGAGGAGGCCAAAGGAGGGAGCAGAGGTGAAAAGGCAGCAAGGGGCCAGGTGCGGTAGCTCATGCCTGTAATCCCAGCACTTTGGGAGGCCGAGGCGAGCGGATCCCAAGATCAGGAGATCAAGACCAGCCTGGCCAATATCGTGAAACCGTGTCTCTACTAAAAATACAAAAATTAGCGGGACGTGGTGGTGGACACCTGTAATCCCAGCTACCCGGGAGGCTGAGGCAGGATAATTGCTTGAACCTGGGAGGTGGAAGTTGTAATGAGCCAAGATGGTGCCACTGCACTCCAGGATGGTGACAGAGACTCTGTTTCAAAAAAAAAAAAAAAAAAAAAGGTGGCAAGGAGCAGGGGCATAGGCTTGGGAGGATGTGGGCTCGGTTTGGCTTCGACTCTGAGAAGGGAATCCCCCGAGGGTTTTGAGCAGAGGAGGCACAGGGTGTGATGGAGTTTTAATAGGACCCTCTTGGCTGTTGTGTTGAGAATAGACTGGAGCAAGCAGGGACAGAGCAGGAGGCCAGCAGGGGCAAGGTGACAGTGACTCTCGGGCCAAGGGTGGAAGCAGTTGCCAGACACAGGAGGTGGCTTCTGGACCTAGGAGGAGGTAAAGCCTGCCAGAACGTGTCGATGGCTTGGATGTGGGGTGTGAGGGGAACCAAAGATGCAGCTGAGTGAACAAGTGGAGTCCATGCAGGCCGTGTTCCGTCCGAGATGCCTTCTAGACATGCAGGATGTTGAGGAAGCAGCTGGAGAACTGAGTCTGGAGCTCACAGCAGGTCCAGGCTGGAGGTAGAACTCTGAGAGCCGAATAGCTGGGGAAGATCGCCATGGGACTGGAGACGAGCTCCAAGGACAGCCCTGGAGTTCCGGATGGAAGAGCTTGGGGAGATGTACATAAACCACTAAGTGGCCGGCACGGGGGGAGGAAAACCAGAGTGTATGGTGTCCTAGAAGCCAAAGAAGGTCTTTAAGTGTTTCTAGGAGCAGGAAGTGACCGGCGGCCTTAGATGCTCCTTTTAGACCAAGTAACATGAGGACTGAGAACTGGCCACTGGGTTTAGCAACGCAGAGGCCCTTGTGGCCCTTGTCAGCAGATGAAGGCGGTGTGGTCCGGAGATGAGGCTTGGGGCCGAGATGTAGCCCAGCATCCTGGTCTGGCTCCTCCCTTGTCCAGGCAGGGCCCTGCCGCCCAGCAGCCGCTCCCCTTCCTGCCGCTCATGGCTGCCGGGTCTCCCTTTCCTCCCCATGTCCCCAGACCTGTGCTTGGCCGGGGACAGTCAGAGCTCCCCTGTCAGCTGGGTCCCCTCCTGGCCCTGGGAGGCCGCCACTGGAGCCCTGCCTCTTCCTGGCAGGGAGCATCGAGTACAGCTGTCCGGCTTCCAACGAGTGTGAGATCACCAAGCGGAGACGCAAGGCCTGCCAGGCCTGCCGCTTCACCAAGTGCCTGCGGGTGGGCATGCTCAAGGAGGGTGAGCGCTGGGCAGGGGCTGGGTGAGGGGTGGGGGAGCAGGGCCTGGCCCGGGGCGGGAGCGAGGTTTGGGAGTTCTGGTGAGTGGCCTGGGAGAGGAAAGCTCTGGGGAGCAAGCCCCACCCTGCCCCCACCGCACAGTCACAGTCCTGTCTGTCCCACAATTCAAGGAGTACGCCTGGACCGCGTCCGGGGTGGGCGGCAGAAGTACAAGCGGCGGCCAGAGGTGGACCCACTGCCCTTCCCGGGCCCCTTCCCTGCTGGGCCCCTGGCAGTAGCTGGAGGCCCCCGGAAGACAGGTGAGAGCACTGTGGGTCCCTGGGATAGGACACGAGAGGCCTGTGTGGGGCACCATAGTTACCTTGGGCGCTGGGACCTGTTTCCCCTTCACCTCTTCACTTATTCATTTCCCAAGACATTCAAACATGCCTTTTCCTGCATGGGAACAGGGACAGATTTTCCAACACTCACAGCCTGTCCCCAACAGACGGGCTTTCCCTGAAGACAGGTAGTGCTTCCCTGGAGCGAAGGTGCTGGCTAGCCGCTGCCGAGGAAGGCCACAGCGGGAGCGGCTCTGGGAGGATGCTTGATCCGAGGCTTCACAGACTCGAGTGCTCCTGACGCTTGTCCTCTTAATTGTTGCCACAGCCCCAGTGAATGCACTGGTGTCTCATCTGCTGGTGGTTGAGCCTGAGAAACTCTATGCCATGCCTGACCCCGCGGGCCCCGATGGGCACCTCCCAGCCGTGGCTACCCTCTGTGACCTCTTTGACCGAGAGATCGTGGTCACCATCAGCTGGGCCAAGAGCATCCCAGGTAAAGGGCCCAGGTGACCTGGGGCCGCGCTGAACGAGTCGGCTTTGCTGCACTCTCGCTCAGCCAGGCCCGCTCCCCTCTAGGCTTCTCATCGCTGTCGCTGTCTGACCAGATGTCAGTACTGCAGAGCGTGTGGATGGAGGTGCTGGTGCTGGGTGTGGCCCAGCGCTCACTGCCACTGCAGGATGAGCTGGCCTTCGCTGAGGACTTAGTCCTGGATGAAGAGGGGGCTCGGGCAGCTGGCCTCGGGGAACTGGGGGCTGCCCTGCTGCAGCTGGTGCGGCGACTGCAGGCCCTTCGGCTGGAGCGAGAGGAGTACGTCCTCCTGAAGGCCCTGGCCCTTGCCAATTCAGGTGAGCCCGGGGCCGGCACTAACAGGTCTCTTCCTAAGGTCTTCAGGTTTTTAACTCAGTGATGGCGTCACAGTCCCATTTTGCAAATAAGGAAAACTGAGGCTTAGGGAAGAACAATGATTTGCTCAGAGTCAAAAAGCAAGTCAAGTGCATGCAGGCTCCAAACTGCACACAGGATTTTGAGCCCTAGTGCCATGCTCATGCAGAAAGGCCAAGTTTCGTGGGAGGGAAGGTGAGGAGGGTACAAGGTGGCCACAGATGAGGGAGAAACGGTGTGGCCCCGGCTCATGGGCTGGAGCCATGAATGGTGCCCCTCAGTCAAGCCAATCAACAAATCCTCGTTTGGCTCCTCCTTAGGCCCCATCTAGCAGTGGTCAAGCAGATGTAGGAAGTGCCCTTGCCAGGGATAGTCCAGGCCACCAGCATGCTCCTCTCCTTGCAGACTCTGTGCACATCGAAGATGCCGAGGCTGTGGAGCAGCTGCGAGAAGCTCTGCACGAGGCCCTGCTGGAGTATGAAGCCGGCCGGGCTGGCCCCGGAGGGGGTGCTGAGCGGCGGCGGGCGGGCAGGCTGCTGCTCACGCTACCGCTCCTCCGCCAGACAGCGGGCAAAGTGCTGGCCCATTTCTATGGGGTGAAGCTGGAGGGCAAGGTGCCCATGCACAAGCTGTTCTTGGAGATGCTCGAGGCCATGATGGACTGAGGCAAGGGGTGGAACTGGTGGGGGTTCTGGCAGGACCTGCCCAGCATGGGGTCAGCCCCAAGGGCTGGGGTGGAGCTGGGGTCTGGGCAGTGCCACAGCCTGCTGGCAGGGCCAGGGCAATGCCATCAGCCCCTGGGAGCAGGCCCCACGCCCTCCCCTCCCCCCTCCTGGGGGGGGTATCAGAAGCTGGGAACGTTGTGTCCAGGCTCTGGGCACAGTGCTGCCCCTTGCAAGCCATAACGTGCCCCCAGAGTGCAGGGGGCCTTGCGGAAGCCATAGTGGGCTGCAGGAGATGTGTGGGAGGCAGAAGCCTATCTCAGGGAGGGAAGGGGATGGAGGCCACCGTCTCCCAGTGGGTGATGCTTTTGCTGCTGCTTAATCCTACCCCCTCTCCAGAGCAGAGCGGGACTTGGAGAGCAAAGGCCCCTGCCCCCTTCGCTCCTCTTCTCATCATTTGCATTGGGCATTAGTGCCCCCCCTTGAAGCAATAACTCCAAGCAGGCTCCAGCCCCTGGACCCCTGGGGTGGCCAGGGCTTCCCCATCAGCTCCCACCCAGCCTCCTCAGGGGGTAGGAGAGCACTGCCTCTATGCCCTGCAGAGCAATAACACTATATTTATTTTTGGGTTTGGCCAGGGAGGCGCAGGGACATGGGGCAAGCCAGGGCCCAGAGCCCTTGGCTGGACAGAGACTCTATTTTAATGTATATTTGCTGCAAAGAGAAACCGCTTTTGGTTTTGAACCTTTAATGAGAAAAAAATATATACTATGGAGCTCAAGAACACTGTGTGTTCGGTGTGTTACTGAGTCAAGGGTTGGGGATACACAACAAAAATACACACGGTCATAACAAGAAAAACTGGCGCCTGGCACAATCAACTCTCAGAGTCGTCTTCACTCAGCAGCATGTTGGGGATCCCGCGGCTGATGGGGAACATACGTCCAGACTCCGGGCACTGCAGGGTGCCCTCCACCACTTCCACCTGCGGGCGGGGAGGGACAGAGCTGAGCACTGGCAGCCTCAGGGCGGGAGGCAGGTGGCCCGGGAAGCAGGTGACGGGCCGCTTCTCACCTCCAGCAGCAGGTGGTGCATGGTCCTCAGAAACTCTTCATTCTCCTCGTACCCCTCAACCGGCTCTTTAGGCACCTGGATCAGGCGCAACTGTGGGCAAGAGGTCGAAATGATCTCCCGGCATCCCGAACTCCCTCCTCGGTCCGCCTGAGGTGTGCCCGCCCCCCACTCGGGATATGCTCGGGCGGGGGAAGTATCCTCACGTTATCGGCCGCCTCCAGGAACGCCGCCCACTCCACCTTGGGTATCATACGCGCCACGAATTGGGGGTTGAACTCCACGGGGCAGATGCGGACCTCCGTGGCCTGCGGAGTGGAAGAGTTTAGTTAGGCAAGCACTGGGCCCCGGCCCACCATCCCGCCCGAAGAGAGGAGAGACCGCCGCCGGCGGGTACCTGGAGGCGCAGGGGGAAGCCACGGGGCCCCACCCCCCGCACATGCGAGCTCAGTAGATTGTGGGTGAGCAGTTTCATGTCTCCTCAAGAGCGTTCTCTAGGCCGGAACCGGAAGAAGGTCGTCCTCCGCTTGCGTCACTTCCGAGGATGAGCCACTCAATGCTATTGGATGGCTAGAAGAACCGGAAGTCGTGAACTTGCCGGAACTTCCGGTGCTTGAGGGAGCTGAGGTAGGTAGGTGAAAGACCTGTCCGGTCACGCGCTGTTACCGGAAGCGTCTTAGCAGGAGATTGCTACGGCGCACGCCCAGTTTTTTTGTTTTTTTTTTTTGGCCACAAATACTACGTAAGATGCAAATCATATGCAAAATAGCTGCAATGCAGGGGCTCTCGTTGAACGCAAAAGAAACATGTTTTACCCTACACAGGCCCCTGACACCGTCGTCTCTGTACCCCGCTTTCGGTTAAGGAGCAGAAACACTGCCCCATCTAAATTAGGACCATGGAAGTCGAGCGGCACCTCATTCTTGTATGCAAATTAGCGGCTCCGAAAGCCCCGCCCCATTTATAAATGCGCCTGCGGTGTAGCCCCAATGCAAATGAGGTTAGGGTCCTAGAGGATCCGTTCCGCGTGCGGCCGCTTGCGCCTGCGCAGTGGAAAAGGCCCCGGCCCGCCTCCAGCCGTGCAGGGGGCGGAGTGAAAGTCGCCGTGGGGCGGGTATGGGACTAGCCGGGTTGTGCCCCCTGAGACGCCCAGCGGGTTTTGTACTCTTTGGTGGGGCCGTCCGTCAGTCTGTGGCAGCGGGAGCGGCGGCCGCAGCGGGAGCGGCAGCGAGACGGCGAGGTGAAGGAGGGTGGGCGTCTGGCGGGGTCCGCAGTTTCAGCAGAGGCGCTGCAGCCATGGCCCCGATCAAGGTGACCGCTGGCCGAGCCGGGCCCGACATCCCCCACTCTCCCCATGCCAACCCCCGTCCCGCTGGTCTGAGGGTGTCTCCTTTCCTGCCTGCCCCTCTCCTCCCCTCAGAAGGCCCGCGTGGCTGCCCACCCTTCTCTCCAGTGGTGGGGGCCTCACCCTCTCGGGACAGTCCCGAGGCATTTTTTTTTTTTTTTTTTTTTTTGAGACAGAGTCTCATTCTGTCGCCCAGGCTGGCGTGCAGTGTCGCGATCTCGGCTCACTGCAACCTCCGCCTCCAGGGTTCAATCGATTCTCCAGCCTCAGCCTCCTGAGTAGCTGGGACTACAAGCGCGAGCCACCGTGCCCGGCTAATATTTGTATTTTTTGGTAAAGACGGGGTTTCACCGTGTTGGCCAGGCTGGTTTTGAACTCCCGACCTCAGGTGATCCGCCTACCTCGGCCTCCCAAAGTGCTGGGATTACAGGCGTGAGCCACAGCGCCCGGCCTGATTTTCCCCATCTGTCTTCTGAAACAGCTGTCCCTTAGCGACCTCGGGGGGGGGCTTCCCCTATCCCACTCCGTGACCTCCCCTCCTCCCATGGCAAATTCGCACCCTCTGCCTACCCTTTCACTCATCTCCTGGAACTGTCCCCAGGGCCTTGGACCTTCCCCTTGCTCCTCCCAAACCCCTGTGAAATCCCCTTCCCTTTCTGCTTCATCCTGCTCCCAACCGCGGTCTCCCCAGAGACTCCGGCACCTCTGACTCTCTCTTCCTACCCTCTCTGGCCCCCGGAAGCCCTCAAGTACTCTGGGGAGACCGATCCTTCCTCCTTCAAGAGATTCCTTCTTTTATTCTATACATCCTGGGTGTAGGGGCCTGGAGACCCTCCCCTAACTTTCCCACCTGCTGCTATCCTCTCTCTTCCTCCTCGTGAGGGTGGGACCCTCAGACTTGGCCAAGATCCTCTCCCTCCGTGTTTTCAGGGACTCCTCCTCACCCCCAAATGCAGCCCTCTACTCCCCACCCCACCCATTTATCCCTCTCCTTTCCTGTAACTTAGACAGCGTGTTATGCAACCCTTTTGACACTTGGGGAGGCCTTCCCGCCCTTGCTCTGTTGTCACCAGTGGGCCCTTAAGAGGAGTAGGGCCACCTTGAAACCTGGAGGATATGGGGTAACTCGGTGCGGGCGGGGCAGGGAGGGCCCCTGGAAACTGACAGGGCTGGAGTTTCCTGCTGGGCATCACTGTAGCTTCTGCGGGCGCAGCTGCCAGGCTCTCTGTTTGCCTTCCCCACTCCGGTTTGCCCTCTCACCGCCCTTACCTCGGAGTCCTTCCTTCTAGGTGGGAGATGCCATCCCAGCAGTGGAGGTGTTTGAAGGGGAGCCGGGAAACAAGGTGAACCTGGCAGAGTTGTTTAAGGGCAAGAAAGGTGTGCTGTTCGGAGTTCCCGGGGCCTTCACCCCTGGCTGTTCCAAGGTGAGGCCCTTCCCTTCTGAGGACCAGGACCTGGGACGTTTTGTGTTGCTTTGAAGTCCTCCACATAGTCCTGACAGGAGGGCAAAAAGCATTTCAGTGCTATTGGAAAACAAGTAGAGGCTGCCGGAAGGGAGCAGCACCAGGAATGCTGGAGAAAAGCTTACTGCAATGAAATTCAAGACCCCTGTTGGTCTTGCTAAATGACAGGCACTATAGAAGGTGCTTGGGCCTCAGATAAAGAAGACATAGTTCTGCCCATGGGAAGTTCATATTCTGGACCAGAAGACATTAAGTTTCATTCTGAGCTTCCTAGTGGCCAAGGCAAAAAGGAAATAGAATGGTTTAGACAGCCCTCATTGTTTGATCAAAGCTGTTGAGGCAGAGCAGTGAGGAGGGCCTGGAAATGAAGGGTGGGCTGGGGGGCAGATGCAGTTATCCCTTTGCTGACCCTTTATTTCCCTTCCCCAGACCCACCTACCAGGGTTTGTAGAGCAGGCCGAGGCTCTGAAGGCCAAGGGAGTCCAGGTGGTGGCATGCCTGAGTGTTAATGATGCCTTTGTGACTGGCGAGTGGGGCCGAGCCCACAAGGCGGAAGGCAAGGTGAGATGCGGGTCTGCGGGGAGTCAGGGCCAGGGAGATCCTTCTTGTGACGTTTTCTTTCTCTGCAGGTTCGGCTCCTGGCTGACCCCACTGGGGCCTTTGGGAAGGTGAGTGTTCTGTGTTCCCCTAACCTCCACAGGGAGATAGCAGTGTGGGGAGCAGTGGGGGCCCTTGGCCTCCTCAGGGGCTTCTGACACTTTTCTTTGTCTCCTCTTAGGAGACAGACTTATTACTAGATGATTCGTTGGTGTCCATCTTTGGGAATCGACGTCTCAAGAGGTAAAAATGGGAGAGTCCTCTGTGTGGGAAAATCCTCTGGAGGGGGAGAAGCCTCTGTGGGGGAGAGTCCTCTGTGTGGGAAAATCCTCTGGAGGGGGAGAAGCCTCTGTGGGGGAGAGTCCTCTGTGGGGGAGAGTCTTCTGTCGGGGGAGAGTCCTCTATTGGGGGGAGTTCTCTGGTGGGCTGAGAGTCCTCTGTGCGGGGAGAATCCTCTACTGGGAGGAGTCCTCTGGTGGGGGGAGAGTCCTGTGTGGGGGGGAGTCCTCTGGTGGGGGGAATCCTCTGTGGGGGAGAGTCCTGTGTGGGGAGGAGTCCTGTGTGGGGGGGAGTCCTCTGGTTGGGGGAATCCTCTGTGGGGGAGAGTCCTGTGTGGGGAGGAGTCCTGTGTGGGGCTCTCTTGGGCCCCTGGCTCTTCACTGCCTGTCTCCATGCTCTGCCTCCAAGCCCAGGCTGACGCAGCTGTCTGGGCCTGTCTTCCTGGCAGATTCTCCATGGTGGTACAGGACGGCATAGTGAAGTCCCTGAATGTGGAACCGGATGGCACAGGCCTCACCTGCAGCCTAGCACCCAACATCATCTCGCAGCTCTGAGGCTCTGGGCCAGATCACTCCCTCTAGCCCTCCGTGTCTCACCGGCCCAGCCCCGTGCCAGAGCCCTGCAATGGGAACCTCGGCCAGATTTCCGCAATAAACGTTTGTGGCTTGTGCCCATCTCCTTGGTTAGGAATGGCTGTTTTGCTCCGTGCCCGGCATCCTGGCGTTGTCACAGACTGGGGGAGAGCCGTCAGAGCGCATATGGGCTGAAAGGGAGAATGTAGGGGGTCTTGGCTTAATTAAGGGGGAGTCGGGGAGGGAGTTTCGAGTGAGGTGTTTTTTTTTTCTTTTTGAGATGCAGTTTCACTGTCGCCCAGGCTGGAGTGCAGTGGCATGATTTTGGCTCACCGTAACCTCCGCCTCCTGGGTTCAAGTGATTATCCTGCCTCAGCTTCCCGAGTAGCTGGGATTACAGGCACCCACCACCACGCCTGGCTAATTTTTTGTATTTTTGGTAGAGATGGGGTTTCACCATGTTGGCCAGGCTGGTCTCGAGCTCCCGACAGATGATCCACCCGACTTGGCCTCACAAAGTGCTGGGATTACAAGTGTGGGCCACCGTGCCCAGCCTCGAGGGAGGTGTCGGTGAGCACCGAGAAGGAGTCAGCAAACTGAAGAGTGGGGAGGAAGCGGTCCCCACAGAGGCAGCACAGAGGGCAAGGCCCAGCTGATGCCATGTGGCACACAGCGCGGCCTTTGTGCCTGCTCTCCGGGTGCTCACTGATGCCATTTAGGCTGGAAACAGGGTGGGAACTTTGGCTCCCAGCAATCCTGCTGGGCCCAGCCCCACCGTCCTTTCAGACTTGAACCCCTCCTGGGCACACCCTCATCCCAGGAAGAGCTCAGGCCACCTTAGGAGTATCTGACAGACACGGAGAGGGGCTCCAGCGCAGCACTTGCTCAGTCCAGGAGGGCTCCCAGGGAGAAGAGTCTACGTGAGCTGTGGAGGGGAGAAGACGCTGGAGAGGCCTGACCAGTGGTGGCTCAGTGTGAGGGGCCTTGAGCCAGGGACACCAGCAGGGTCTGGGGCTGGGGGCCATTGCCACGGCAGGCCCTGCTCCTGGGTGTCTGCCTCTTGACGCTGGGAAGCCGTGTGTGGCGGCAGGCAGTGATTGTGAGGCCCCGCTGCGTGGAGTGTAGGGGCCTGCGTGCCGCTCTCGATGCTGCGTGCCTGCTCCAGGTGTGGTGACAGCCCTCACAATAATCCGGTGAGGTGTGGGCTGCTGCTGCCTCTCAGCCACCTACACGGAGTCGGGACTCCATCACCGCGTGGAGCTGCACTGTCAGGAA